AATCAGTGATGCGATCATGCGCTTTTGCAGTCAGATAAAACAGCTGCTTATTTAAAGAATGACAATTTTACTTCAAATTTTTTTTTTATCATAGCAGGATTCTTCAGTTTGAAATGCGACGTCTGGTTTCTCTAGCACAGAACATACAGAAAAATGACCAAGGACAGTGATATAAAAAGTTTGAACTGCTTGGCTCATCTGGTTGCAAAGTTAAAAAATTGTGCAACTTCAAATTTTGCGTTTCATTCATAAGCGACAAAAAGTGTACATCAGGGCTGAATTTAGATTTTCGAATCGCACACAAACAGAAAACAGGTCCCTAAAATTTCAGCTCCCAAACTTTTCCAACTTCTGGTTTTCAAAAGTTCCCGCCAAAAATTCCATATGTCCGTACGCATACCCTAGGCTTATGTGGAAGATAAATTTGAATATTCAGGATCGCAAGTAAATGTGAAATATCGATACGACTACATTTTTCTGTCTCACGTTTCCCGAGCTTGGAAAGTTGTTAACAATTTCTCGTCAGAATTTTCACGTCCCTCTACATGAGATCTAGGCATACTTAGGAACTGGACTCAAAATCTCTGGATCAAACATCGACAGAGAACAAGTTCCTAAAATCTCATTTCCCTACCCTTTCCGGTTCTCGAGTTAGCAGTTTTTCCGACAAAACTTTCACATGCCCGTATGTGAAACATCGAGCGCGTGAAAGCTGATATCACACTTATGAAGCCAAGGAATACAGTAGCAAAAATTTAGCATCTAAACTTTCATGGTCATCGAAATGACATACCTGAACAGTGGAACATATACAAATACATACATAAACACACACGCAGAAGCAAATAAAAGCAGACACACACACACACACACACACACACACCATGGGTTGTTACAATATGTGTTTTTGCTAATTGTTGTAGCGCAATAACGTTGCAGCGCAAGGACATATAAAAGTTGACAGGGCGCTGCTGTTCCACTCGAAATATTAAGTAAAACAATAGCAATTTCTCGTGTTTCACACCTTTCGTCACGATTATGCTAAGTATGAATTCAGCACTTCGCACAGTACTAGAGTGAGTTATTAGCACGAACGCAATCAGGAAGATTTGATCTGGAAGTGGAAATACCTCGGACCAGGCGCCATAAACCCATTTAGGACATGGCATCCTATTGCACTCCTTCTCTGTCTTCTCCCTCATTGCCAGCTCACAAGCTCGGTCGTCGAGATGACGGCTGTTCTGATCTGTGCAAAATGCTTGCCGGCGGCTGGTTCCAGAATCACCGCATGTTTCTGAACACTGTAAATTGCAGAATTTAGTTCCCCATCTTCTGAATGATACATTAGCAATTCGTTCCGTGCACTGCGTGTTGCATATTTCATTCTCGACGGCTCTTGAACAAAGTGAACTGCACAAGTACTATGTGATTCGTCGGCCAAGGCCTGCCCGATGCAAGCATAATTTCGTACCGGTGTCCACTCCGTATATGTCCATTTGCGCCCAGAGCAATCCACATAACAAGAGGCATGATCGCTCGGCCTTTTCAGCTTGAGGCAGTGAACATCCGAAACGATGTCTTCGCGACCGTCTACATGGCTCTGGATGCACTCACTTTTTTGACGCCTTTCACCATGTCCGCAAGTAGCACTACACTGACCAGTAGGCACTGATCGCCATCTGCAATTGGCAGTTCAAGGG